CGCGGAGCTCGGTATTTTTCGAAAATCGACCTGCGAGGAGGCTACCACCAAATTCGCGTGTTCGCCGACGACTGCCCGAAGACAGCTTTTCGCACACGCTACGGTAGTTACGAGTTTACGGTGATGCCGTTCGGACTGACAAACGCGCCCTCAACATTCGAGCTCACAATGAACGGAATTTTCTGGGACATGCTGGACAAGAAGGTCATCGTGTATCTGGACGACATCCTGGTGTACAGCGCAACAAAAGAGGACCATCTGCGGGATTTAGAGGAGGTGTTCCGGCGTTTACAGGGGCATCGGCTGATTACGAAAGGGTCTAAGTGCGAGTTCCTGAAACCGGAGTTGGAGTTTTTGGGGCACGTGGTTTCTGGCGAGGGAATCAAAATCGTCCCGCGTAAAGTGGACGCCATCGTTAAGTGGAAGCCGGCGACTAATATCCCTGAGCAACAGAGTTTTTTGGGGTTTGTTACGTTAGTCGTTTTGTACCTAACATGGCATAAATAACCAAGCCGCTGACCGACCTGCTGCATCACGACAGTTATTTTCGTTGGGGGGAGAGGGAACAGTCCGCCTTTGACGCTCTCAAAAACATTTTGGGTTCGCCCTTGGTACTCCGCCTCGCCGACCCATCTCGACCGTTCGAAGTCGTCACGGACGCCAGCGATTTCGCCGTCGGCGCCGTCCTGCTACAGGACTTCGGCCAAGGGCTGCAACCCATCGCCTACGAGTCACGCAAGATGCAGCCACCCGAGCGCAACTACCCAGTCCACGACAAAGAGATGCTGGCCATCGTCCACGCATTTCGTACCTGGCGCTGCTACCTCACGGGAGCCGACGTGACAATTCGGACCGACCACAAATCGCTACAGTACATGCGCACGCAACCAACACTCAACCCGCGACAAATCCGGTGGTTGGACTTCCTCGAGTCCAATTTTCGGTACACCATCACGTACAAGAAGGGCGCCAACAACATCGCCGACGCCCTCACCCGACCATCCATGCAAAACGCGGCGGTACTAATCGCCCTCACAAACCCGATGCTGATGGGACTATTCACCCATGGCTACAAGATCGGCAGGTTTTTTCGGAACCTGCACCAACAGGCTGCCACGCCACACGGCAAATACTACCTAAAAGCCGGTACAAACACCAGCATACCAGCCTTTACGGGAGCTGCTGACGCAGGAGGTTCACGACTCCAACCTTTCCGGGCATTTCGGCACCGACAAAACACTGAAGCTGCTGCAGCGGAATTATTACTGGCCGGACATGCTCACCGATGTGCAGCGCTACGTGTCAACTTGCCCGACCTGCCAAGCAATGAAGTCGTCGCGACAACGGCCAGCAAGACTGCTGCAACCCCTCGCGCCACCCGAACGACCGTGGCAACAGGTGACGATGGATTTCGTCAAGGGGCTCCCAGTTGGCACGAGTGGCAACGACTCGGTGATGGTCGTCGTCGATCGCCCAACAAAAATGGCGCATTTCGCCCCATGCCGAACGACGATCACAGCCGAAGATACAGCCAAACTGTTCATCTCCACCGTCGTACGCCTACACGGGTTACCTTCGGCGATCATCAGCGATCGTGATCCGAAATTTACGTCGAAATTCTGGCAGGAGACGTGGGCACAGTACGGTACCCGCCTGCAGTTTTCGTCGTCATACCACCCGCAAACCGACGGACAGACGGAACGGACAAATCAGACCATGGAGCAACTGATTCGCACCAACTGCCCAGACAATCGCAAGTGGGAGGATTCGCTGCCGATGCTGGAATTCGCGTACAACAACGCCCCTTCGGCCTGACTAAACAATCACCCTTCTTCTTGAATTACAGGATAGACCCCGTGGTACCCTCTTCAACGACTGTGGACAACCCGGTACCACGATCGCAGCAGTTTGTCACGGAGCTGCAGACCGCCCGCACGAAAGCAGCTGATTTTATTCTAAGGCTAATACCACGGCCAGCCGCCAGGCGGACAAACATCGACGGAATTTACCCTTCCGCGCAGGGCAGGTTGTGCTCCTATACACTAAGAATCTCAAGCTGCCACAGCCCGCGAAGCTACGGCCCGGATACGTGGGACCATTTCGTATCATCCAGATGGTGACACCTGTCACCGCGAAGCTGCTGCTGCCCGACGATTGGAAAATACATGGCGCCTTCCACGTTAGCCTGTTGCGTCATTACGAACAGCCGCAGTCGCCAGCTGTTGCTCGGCCAACCATCGCGCCGACCACTTGCCCCGTGGCAGAGCCCACGCTAGAACCTTGGAAGATTCTCAACCATCGCGTGGATGTGACTGCCGCCGGCCGCTCGGTGAAATTCCTGCTTCGCTGGAAAGAACGCACGAGCGAGGACGACACGTATGTCACCGCTGACTCGCTACTGGGACATCCGGTTGTGGATGCTTACCACGCCCGCCGAGGTGTCTCGGATATTCACCACCTTTCTTAAGGGGGGGGGTAGTGTAAGGAATTTTTTTCAGATTCCTTACTGGGTCACACTGTACGCGTACAACCCCGACTTTCGGAAAACCAGGCTCGGTCCGCCGACCTCGCCTTCCGAGCCACTACCGCGTCGCCTTCGGGTTTTCCAACCCCGAACCTGCACCCAACCATCTCGCGACCCCGCGACCTCGGCCTAGCTAGCTTCGCTATATTAGTCCTAGGCCTCGTTGTGTTCTCAGACGTTGTAATCACTTCCGCATTATTGAGTTCTGCGCACATTTTCATTCACAACTCATAACAGTTAGGTTTATGTACTCCAACCCGCATAAGTCAATCATAATTCGGTTTCTGATAGTTGGGTACCCAGAAGGCCACATGCAAATGTACCACCTGCTTGTTTTGTAGACCCAACCATGCAAATGGTATTTGAGCTGCAGGTTGGCATGTTTGTTGGTGGTTGCCTCGACCGGTTGGATGTGGGCCGACCATGTTCTTGCTTTAATCAAATTGTCGCCTCGACCAGGTGTGAGGGTGCTCTGGTACAGACGTCCATTAGTACAGCATCGTGTAATCTGGTAACCCAACAGATCTACCGAACCAGATTGTTCAGGCCACCCAACCAGCCCTAAAGAAGGGGAGTACGCAGCACGGAACGAAATATATAAACATAAATTCTTTCAGTACACGAAAACCTTAACGAACGAAACGAATCCAATCGGTACGCAACGTTCATTCGTCGTTATGATCGGTGTCAGCCTCGTTGATTCGGTGTGAGCTCCCGAACCTTCGCCTAACCGAGCCTGCCAGTTTCTCCAGGCCAGGAAGCTCACCACAAACAGCAGTTGTCAGTACCGTAGTCGCACAGTCGCACCGCATCGCATCGCATCGCTCACTCGGAAATCCGTTTTCGCAAATATCCGCCTGCCGTCCTTCGGTTGCCGGTGTCGGCTCTACGCTTCGTGATAATTGGTTCCCCCCGCAAACGCGGAGATGCTGAGTTTGGGTAAAGGGAGGATACCAGTGTTTCAACCCAGCCTGACCTGCCACCAAACTCGCGGGGTTTCTTGCGATGCCTTTGTGTGTGCTTTTGACGCCGAGAATCGCGCGGCATCGCACGCGTGGGATGGTGGCTCCTAGTCAAGCCTGCCTGAAACGCGCAATAGACGGCAAACCCTTGATATACCGCGGCCTGAAACAATACTAACATCGTAACAGTAAGACTCTTACTCGGAGTGACAGATAGTAGACAGCGGGGCAGACGACCGTCACGGGCGCACATGGCTCCGCCTCACAGCCTCCCCCTTCACTCCTCAGGCGTCTTCTCCATCCGTGCAGCTGCGCGCCTCTCCGCGGCGCTATCCGCCGCGTGCTGCGCGCTGCTTCTCGCCTCCGCCGCCTCCGCAGCCTCCGGCGCCGCCCCCGCGTCGTCCCTACTACCGTCCGCCCGGCACGCTGTTTCGTCTCTTCACGAGCCCGCATCGGCCGACGATGAGACTCAGCACTCCCTTTCGTCGTCGTCGACCTTTGGCGGCTCGTCCGTCCTCCCGAGTACCGCCTGGTCGCTGCTACACCCGTTTCTCGACTTCGACAATTCAGACAATCTCAGCGGCTACTCGTTGCCCCAAAAACAGTCGCACGCGACGCGCTCCCCGCCGCATCGCCTGCTCATCGCACAGCAGCAACCCAGCGTCGCCGCCGCGGGCGTCGCGACGAATGCTCCCGTCAACAAGCCTCCGCCGCCGCCGCCGCCAGCGCCGCCGCTGCGTGAGGTGGAGCTGGACTCGTGCGCGCTGCAGGCGCTGCTGCCGCAGCTCCTCCCGCCCGCCCTCCTCGACCCCGCCTGCTTCAACCACCTCGCGCTGCACTCCGCGCAGCCCTCCCCCGCGCTCGACTCCCCCGCGCTCGACTCCCCCGCGCTCGACTCCCCCGCGCTCGACTCCATCGCGCACAGCGGTGCGTCAACATCTCCGCTCAGCGACAGCGCCGGCAGCGGCGGCGGCGGCGGTGGCGGGGGGGACGAGCCTGAGACGGCGACGCGGCGCGATCTGCTGGACGTGGCGCGCAACAAGTGGCGCGCCAGCACCGTGTGGGCGCCACTGGACGCGGAGAGCAACGCGGAAGGCGCGGGGGGCGCGGGGGGAATGGGGGGCGCGGGGGTACTGGGGGGAACGGGGAGTGCGAGGGTAATGGGGGGAACGGGGGGACCGGGACGAGCGAAGCCGGCGGCAGCGGCGGCGGCGTCGACCCTCACCCCACCCAATGAAGTGATCACCGTGTGCCGCTCCGCTGGTAGGGCTTGCACCGTGGCTGCCGGTGGTGTGCGGTGATGGGGGGTTATGGGCGGTGATGTAAGGTGATGGGAGGTGTTGGGAGGTGTGGTGATTGGGTGATAGGTTCAGATGGGTTGAGATGGGCGGGGTAGGTTCAGTTATGGCCGTATGGATGGACAGTCTCACTGAGTCGCTGCGTGGAGGCTCCTTTCCCGCACACGCATGGCATGGCAGAAGATGTGGTGACAAAAGCTGTGGTGACAGCTCAGCATGACACGTGGCATGGCCATCAACCCACCTCAGCTCTTCTCTGTTCTTGCTTCTCAACCACCCCTTCCCTCCCTTCCCAACACTTCCCATTGGCCCGCTCTCGTTGGCCAGCATAACCATCACTCTGGACTGCTCGATCTTTCCCGCTCGATTTCCCCCCTCTCCCCCGTCGCTACCCCCAGCCAGCATCACCATCACTCTGGACCGCAACTACGCCCTCACCTCCCCTGCCGTCTCCCTCTCTCTTCCTTCCTTCCCCCCTCCCCTCGCTCCCCTGCCTCTCCATGTCCCACCACCATCACCACCAGTCCGCACGTCATTTGATAGCGCTACCCAGGTCTCCCATGCACGCCCGAATGCTCCCTGCCCCACTCCCTGTCCCCATCCCCAGCCAGCGACACCATCAGTCCACACTCGTCGTTACCGCGCACGCCTGACAGAGCCTGACCTTTGCCCGTGGCCCCCCCACTTCCTTTTTCCCCTTTCCCCTCTCTCCCCTGCTTCCCCCTCCCTGTCCGCCAGGCCCAGCTACCATTACCATCAGTCCAGATCTCAGTGGGCAGACCTGGAGAGGCTGGGGCACGTCTTTGGCATGGTGAGTGCGCGAGAGCACGCCTGTCCAACCAGTGGTGCCATTGGTGCCGTTCTTGGCGTGATGGCTATGGTGAGTGCAGTGCAAGTGATAGCAGGGTGAGTAAGTGCATGGGGTTGTGAATGAATGGATAGTGAATTGCACGGCAGGGACTAAAAGGCACCAGCTTCATCCCTCTTTCTATTTTTCCTGCTTCTTGTCATTCCCATTCATCCGCCTTCTTTGCTCTCCTCTCTTCTTTCCTTGTCCCGTCGGCTCCCGCGTTGCCAACTACCTAAGCCACCTATCTTCCTTCCAACCCAATGTCTCACTCTCTCCCACCCCACGAACTCGACCCTTGCTCTCCCCGTCTTACCACCTTTTCCCAAACCCTTCCTCCCCTCGCCCCACCCCTGCCCTCCCTCACTCCGTGCGCTCCGCCTGCCCTTCCCTTGCCCTCCCTCTCCTTCACCCCCCATGTTCGCCAACTACATCACCAAGCTGCCTGCCGATCAGCTCACCACGCTGCTCGTCTCTCCCTCCACCTGCATCGGGTTGAACCTCACCCACTAACACATCCGTCCCCCTTCCCCCCTTCTCCCTTTCCCCTGCCTTCCCCCTTCCCTTTCCCCCAGGACTGCCAATTACATTGGCAAGCTACCAGACGATCAGCTCACCATCCTGCTCGACCTGCTCTTCTCGCCCTCCACGGGCATTGGGTTCAACCTCGCGCGCTACCTCCTCGGCGCCAGCTTCAATGCCACTAACAGCCCGCAGCTCACCAAAGACACCTTCCACCAGGTCAACCTCCCCGGCTACAAGCCGACTGAGGCCGGCCCGTACGACTGGGCAGCGGACTGGCGGCAGCGGAAGGTGCTAAAGGGAGCGATGGAGCGCGGTGTAGATGAGGTGGAGGCGATTGCTTATTCGCCGCCCTGGTGGATGACCATCAGTGGGGATACCGCGGGGAATGTGGGTGGAGCGTCAAACCTCCAACCGGATAGGTACGGCGAGTTTGCAGAGTATCTAGCGACCATAGTGGAGCATTTCCGGCGGGAGTGGAATGTGACATTCAGCACGATGAATCCGGCGAATGAGCCGCTGGAAGGGTGGTGGCAGAAGGGGGGGAAGCACGAGGGGTGCTCGTTCACTGCTGCTGACCTGGAGCTGCTGTGCACGGCCGTGGCGCGTGCGCTGCAGCGGAGGAAGCTTCCCACGCAAGTCGCGGGGTTCGACAGCTTCGTTGGGTTCACGGTGCGAAACGCAAAGACATGGACCGGCAAGCTGCTATCCAGCCTGAAAAGGATCTCCGTGCATGGGTATGTTCCTCCCCCGCCCACCACAACGGATGCAAGGGCGTATATTGAGCAGCTCTATGTGTGGTTGGCGCGGGTGGGGATCGGCGTGGGGAAGGAGGTGTGGGTGTCAGAGATTGGACCGATGTGGGCGGGAGGGGCGGACACCGACGTTGGGTTGTTTCTGATGCGATCTGCGATTCAGGCTATCAACATCATGGGCGCTTCGGCGTGGATTTTCTGGCAGCCGATCACCCCGGACGTCCCTACAAACCCTAATTTATTCAGGTGGGGCCTGCTCACGATAAAGCACAACAATGTTTCGGACCCAACGGTCATTCCTCTGGAAATGAAGTTTTCGAAAAAGTTTTACATGATGAAGCAGATGGCTCGGGCGTCGCCGCGAGGGAGCGTGCCATTGAGAATCGACACGAGCGATGGGTGCCACCACTGCATTGCGTCGTTCTTCAACCCTGATAAGAACTTCATCTCGATTTATATAGTGAACCAGGATGGCGGGGACTACGTTGTTACATTTAGATTCGAGTTTTTTGGGCCCATGGACAGGTCGAGCCCGTGTGTGGTGGAGGTGCAGCGGACGTCTGAAAGCGAGGATGCAGAGGTGGTTTCTACTGATAGTTTTACTGAAATGCCGCAGGCTCTGCCTGTGACCGCAGTAGGCAGAAGCATCACTACTATATTGATTTCCAATGTTGTATGGTTGTAGAGCTGCAGTGGTACCATGCTTCCCCCTCAAGGAACAAGGGACATTGGAGTTAGAATGGGATGAAGCAGCAGGGTGGATGGGGTGGCGGTAGGGAGCCGTTTTGGCGATGGTGGATACTACTTAAGAAAAGGGAACAAGGGTACTTAAACCCAATGCCAATACTACGGTGATATACGGTAGGTACTGTCAATGGTGACCTGCATTGTGGATCCCCAAGGTCTCATAAGTTGGAAATTTTACCGTACCCTGCTGAATTCGTAAAGTTTGACCATCGTTTTTTACCATGACCCTGATGTGTCAGAACATATACCTATGTCAAACTGTATGTGCTGCATATTGTCTAGGCTGTAGTGGGGTAGCCCATATGGGGTACAACCAAATTAGGGTTTACTACTTGTACTCCTGCATCCTGCTAGTTCATTCATTCCTGCTGCTAGATTCTAACATGGTTTCAGAGCACTAAGGTCCGTAGGACCGTTTTTTTTTCGGGCCCACCTACCGCTGCGGTTACCGCGCTACCCCACGTACCTGCCTGCCTTGCCTTGCCTTGTGACGTGCTGCACTATGCGCGCCGTCCAGCAGCCCTAGCGCTGCCTCCTGCTGCCCTAGGCCAGCGCGCTGCCCCTAGAGGCCCGTAAGGCCCGCGCGCCGCCTCTACACGCCCGTCAGGCCCGCAAACAGCCCCTGCAGACCGTTAAGCACGCTGCTGCCGCGCGCTGCCCGCACCGAGCCCGCGCAGCCCGCACCGAGTCGCGCGCAGCCCGCTGCAGCCGCGCGCAGCCCGCACCGAGCCGCGCGCAGCCCGCTGCAGCCGCGCGCAGCCCGCACCGACCCGCGCGCAGCCCGCTGCAGCCGCGCGCAGCCCGCACCGAGCCGCGCGCAGCTCGCAGCTGCCGCGCGCAGCCCGCGCCGAGCCCACGCAGCCCGCGTCGAGCCGCGCGCGGCCTGCTACGGCCTCGCGAGGCCCGCGCGCGGCCCGCAGCAGCCCGCGCCGAGCCGCGCGCGGCCTGCTACTGCCTCGCACGGCCCGCGCGCGGCCCGCAACAGCCCGCGCCGAGCCGCGCGCGGCCCGCTACTGCCTAGCGCGGCCGCGCGCGGCCTGCAGCAGCTCAGCGCGCTGTCAGCGCAGCCCGCGCCGAGCCGCGCGCGGCCCTCTGCCTCGGCCCCGACCTGCCGCTGATGCGGCCCCGCCCTGCAGCTGCCACGGCCCCGACCTGCCGCTGATGCGGCCCCGCCCTGCAGCTGCCACGGCCCCGACCTGCCGCTGACGCGGCCCCACCCTGCTACTGCCGCTGAAGCGGCCCCGCCCTGCAGCTGCTTCGGCCCTGCTCTGCAGCCGGTGTTGCGGCCCCGACGTCGCCGCTGTCGAGCGCCGGCCCTGCTCGCCCGGTGAGCGCCTGCTCTCCCAGCCTTTGGTGAGCGACTGCCTGCCTGCCTGACGGCCTGCCTGTCTGCCTGCCTGCCTGCCTGCCTGGCTGCCTGCCTGCCTGCCGGCCTGCCTGCCTGCCTGCGCGCCTGCCTGCCTGCCTGCCGGCCTGCCTGCCTGCCTGCCGGCCTGCCTGTCTGTCTGCCTGCCTGCCTGCCTGCCTGCCTGTCTGCCTGCCTGCCTTCCTGCCTGCCTGCCTGCCTGCCTGCTTGCCTGCCTGCCTGCCACGCCTGCCCTGCCCGCGCTGCTGCTGCTGCTACTGCTACTGGCAGGTGGCCAGATGCAGCTCCAGCGACGTTCACGCGAGCCTCTCACGCCCCAGCAGCTTAGTGAGTGGTATACTAGCTGGGGTTGTCGCGGTAGCCGTCGTAGCTGTCGCCCTGGAGCTGGTCAGTTGGGAGCGTCTGGCAGTGGCCAGCTGCAGCTGCAGGGGCGTCCACGCGAGACACTTACGCCTCGGCAGCTCCAGGAGTGGTACGCTCAGTGTAGCAGGTCTACACGTACAGTTCGCTGCCCGTACGTCATTCGCACAGGTGCTAGGACTGGTCAGCCTTGTGGGACGCTTGGTCACACACAGTCCCGCTGCTTCGCCCGTCTGAGCGACGACTGGCGCACAGTGTTTGGCGACGAGGCTGAGCTCCCCACCTGGCTGGAGCTGCATGGACAGAGGGTAGATATCTTTGCGCTTGACTATGATGCTATTCTCACTGCCATGTATGCATTGTCTACTACCTGTTACCTGTGCGTACCGCCTGACCCTGGTGAGGCTGCTGCCCTAGGTGCTAGTGCGTCTCCTGCTCTAGGTGCTGGTGAGGCTGCTGCTCTCGGTGCTAGTACGTCTACTGCTCTAGGTACTGGTGAGGCCGTGGCTTCAGGTGCTGGTGAGTCTGCTCTCTCTGGTACTGCGCCCACTGCGGTCTCGCACACCTTCACCCTTGACTCAGGAGCTTCCCGCTCCTTCTTTCGCGACTGCACCGCACTCACGCCGCTCAGTCGTGTCAAACATATGTGCTGCATACTGTCTAGGCTGTAGTGGGGTAGCCCATATGGGGTACAACCCAAATTAGGGTTTACTACTTGTACTCCTGCATGCTGCTAGTTCACTCATTCCTGCCTGTTCATCCTGTCATGGTATCAGAGCAGGTCCTTTGCTAGGACCGCTCCTAGGGCCCACCACTACCTACCTACCTACCTACCTATCGTGCGCCCTCGTGCGCCCTCGTGCGCCCTCGTGCGCCCTCGTGCGCCCTCGTGCGCCTCTCACTACCGAGCGCCCTCGTGCGCCTTAGCGCCCTCGTGCGCCTCTACCTACCGCGCGCACGCAGCCCGCTAGCCACCCGCGCGCGGCTCGTTTTTAACGCGCGCGACTCGCTAGCCGCCCGTGCGCGGCCGATTTTTCGCGCGCGCGCCTCGCTAGCCGCCCGCGCGCGGCCGATTCTTCGCGCGCGTGACCCGCTAGCCGCCCGCGCGCGGCTTAGGGTTTGTCACGCGACCCGTCGCAGCCTTGTGCGGCCCCGCGCACTGCCCGCGAGCTGCCCGCCGCTGCAGGCTCTCGCCGCCCGCCGCGTCGCCCTGCCCGTGGCGTCGTCACCTCCCTACCAGCCCGTCGCGATCCCTCAGCCGCCCCTTCGCGGCTTCGACTTCGTCTGCAGCAGCTGCCGCCACCGAACCTGCAGCAGCAGCCGCCGCCGACCTGCAGCAGCTGCCGCCGCCGAGCCTGCAGCAGCAGCCGCCGCCGACCTGCAGCAGCTGCCGCCGCCGAGCCTGCAGCAGCAGCCGCCGCTCGACCTGCAGCAGCAGCCGCCGCTCGACCTGCAGCAGCTGCCGCCGCCGAGCCTGCAGCAGCAGCCGCCGCTCGACCTGCAGCAGCTGCCGCCGCCGAGCTTGCAGCAGCAGCCGCCGCTCGACCTGCAGCAGCTGCAGCAGCCGAGCCTGCAGCAGCAGCCGCCGCCGACCCTGCAGCAGCAGCCGCCGCCGAGCCTACAGCAGCGGCCGCCGCCGAGCCTGCAGCAGCAGCCGCCGCTCGACCTGCAGCAGCTGCCGCCGCCGAGCTTGCAGCAGCAGCCGCCGCTCGACCTGCAGCAGCTGCAGCAGCCGAGCCTGCAGCAGCAGCCGCCGCCGACCCTGCAGCAGCAGCCGCCGCCGAGCCTACAGCAGCGGCCGCCGCCGACCCTACAGCAGCAGCCGCCGCTCGACCTGCAGCAGCTGCCGCCGCCGAGCCTACAGCAGCGGCCGCCACAGACCCTGCAGCAGCTGCCGCGGAGCTCCCTGCTACGACCTGGCCCCGCCCCGCTGTTGCAGCGGCCACGCTGTCGCCACTGTCTTGCGCCCGCCGCACCAACCACTGGTGAGCTTTGCCCTGCTAGCACTGCTACCGTTACTGCTGCTGCTACTGCTGCTCCTGACGTGGCCAGATGCAGCTCCAGCAGGCTCGTGAGTGGTACGCCGGCTTGGGCAGTCGGGGTGGCCGTAGTGGTAGTCGCTCTGGAGTGCGTCGTTCGGGAGCCTCTGGTAGTAGACCGGTGCAGCAGACGTGCCCTCTTCTGCTCCAGCAGGCTCGTGAGTGGTACGCCGGTTTGGGCAGTCGGGGTGGCCGGCGTGGTAGTCGCTCTGGCGTGCGTCGTTCGGGAGCCCCTGGTAGTGGACAGGTGCAGCAGCCGTGCCCTCTTCTGCTCCAGCAGGCTCGTGAGTGGTACGCCGGTTTGAGCAGTCGGGGTGGCCGTAGTGGTAGTCGCTCTGGCGTCCGTCGTTCGGGAGCCTCTGGTAGTGGACAGGTGCAGCAGCCGTGCCCTCTTCTGCTCCAGCAGGCTCGTGAGTGGTACGCCGGTTTGAGCAGTCGGGGTGGCCGTAGTGGTAGTCGCTCTGTGAGTGAGGCAGCCGCTCTCGGTGCCAGTACGTCTGTTGCCCTCGGTGCAGGTGAGGCTACCACTCCCGGTACTCGCGTGTCTGCTACTCCAGGTGCTAGTGCGTCTGCCGCTCCAGGTGCTCGCGTGTCTGCTACCCCAGGTGATGGTGAGGCTGCCGCTCTAGGTGCTGGTGAGTCTGTCTCCCCTGGTACTGAGTCGACTGAGGCACTGCACACCTTCACACTGGACTCAGGTGCTTCTCGCTGTTTCTTTCGTGACCGCACTGTCCTTGAGCCCCTCGCTCGGCCAGTTGCGGTCTCCCTCGCTGACCCCTCTGGGGGTCCGGTCATTGCGACCTCCTCCACTGTTCTTCCCTGTCCTGCGGTCCCGTCTGGCACACTGTCTGGTCTCCACCTCCCCTCG